GAAGTGTAATCTTTAAACTAATTTTTTTCTTGAAGAGTGAAAATAGAATAAACGTACTACAAATCTACAATCTCAATTTTAACGAGTGTGACGGAGAATTTCTTATGCAGCAGCTATCATTTAATGTTACGGACAAAGCTGACTTATATTTTTATGTTTGACTCCTTTGGAATTAGTGGCAAAAACTGTTCACGCAATAATTTTCAGTGTCCCTCGGTTGGTGGCTTGGTGCTATTATTTAAGTTCCACTCTGTATATTGTTTAGGTTATGATTCCAAACGGTCGTTTGGCGGCATGAAGATCGAGGGTTGTACAAGTGCTATGTTATTTTAGAGGTTAAAAAAAATAAAAAATTATGAAAATTTTATTTTTTACTTTCCTTGAGATTAGTAATAAATCTCTTGGTCTAGAAAAATAACACAAAACAATTTAAAATTCAGTATATTTTTTTTAATGTTAAAATAATATTTAGTAAATAAAAGTCATATTTCATAAAGATAAATTAGTTTTATTATTAATTTTAAGATATTACATAAGTCATGTTTATAAATAAAAAAAACTACAGTTTGTTATTTTAAAAAATTGTGTGTTTATATATAAAATATAAATAAATAAATAAGAATTTGAGGTGAGCAATTTCGGATGCATTGCTCTAAAATATATAAAATTGAAACAAACCGCAAATGGAAAAAAAGTAGTCTGTTTTCATCTGTTAAGTGATCGGTTATGTGGATGACAGCTTGCTCAAGTGGATTATTATTTATTTATTTTGGTAAAATTCAAGTGGTTTATTATTTATTTATTTTGATAAAATTCAGGTGGATTATGGATACATCTGAGTTAACTTCCATTACTTAGTTTTGCATTGCATCTACAAGTTGGGATGTCAATGGGTTCATCCACTGGATAACAAGCCTTCGTCTCCCACTCTACAAGATAAAAATTATTCTCACACCTTCGAGTGTACTTAGATATCTACGAATTTTATTAATATTTATAGATATTTGTTAATTAAAAATGATAAAAATATTAGAAATAATATTGGATTTACATTTGATGTTAATTTGTTGGGTCTGTGTTCATCGTAATTCTTTTAGGAACTATTTTTCCACTTTTTTTTATGCTTAACTATTTTTTCATTTGACATTATTGAACCGCTTCACAAACTAAATTTATCATTTTATTATAAAAAAAATTTAATCAATTCATTCAAAATTACCAATTGATCAATACAAGTATATATTCAAAATTATCAATTCATCAATACAAGTATATATGACTAATTGTAACTCAACAAAATATAAACTTATCACTTAACACAAGTAAAAATAAGTAATAATTTAAGAATAATTAAATAATAGATCAAAGGATCATCTTAGATCTCTTAAGAATATATGTTTTAACGATAACAAATTTAGACATTTTGATAAATAAATATTTTTAAAATCATATAAATAATACGATAGTTTAAGAAAATTCTTTGAGATGTTATGTCTTTTTGATAAGTCCCTTAGCTAGAATAGTTTATCAATCTAAAATGAATGCATTAAATATAATATTTAATGGGTCTGATGATCATCTGTTGATATTTTATCCGTTGATAGATCAAAGAAGTAAAACCTTTTTTGGTACACTACTAGAAAAATTAATATTTGTGACGAATTTTGTGATGGAAAAAATAGCGTCGCTAATAGTGAAGCACTTTGTGAGGGAATTATAAGTTTTGTGACGGACTAGCATTTATTGACTTTTGTGACGGATTTTGTGACGGAATATATTTCGTCTCTAAAAATCCGTCACAAATTTCGTCACTAAATAAATAAAAAGTTTGTGACGGATTTTGTGACGGAAAAATTTTCGTCTCTAAAAATCCGTCACAAATTTCATCACTAAATAAAAAAATGTTTGTGACGGATTTTGTGACAGAATGAACTTGTCTCTAAAAAATCCGTCACAAATTTCGTCACTAAATAAAAAAAGATTTAATGACGAATTTTTCCCTCTCAAAATTCCGTCACAAATAGGTTAAAATATTTTGTGAAAAAATTTGTAACGAATTGTTCCCTCTCAAAATATTAAATTTTATTTATGAAACTTTTATATTTAAGAATTATGCATAATTAAAGAAAATATGTTAATTTTTTTAAAAAAAAAATAAAATTAAAAATATTTTATTTCATTAAAGGATTGAAAAAATTATGAAGTTTATTTAATTAAATAAAAAATTGTCAACTTTGAGCATAAGAAATTAAGACATTCATTAAAAATATTTAAAAAAAAACTTGTGAAATTAAAAAAAAAAAAGAGTATTAATTTAATTTTGGCTTAATTACATTTTTGATCCCTCAAGTATTGTAATTGTGCAATTTTGATCCCTAAGGTTTTAATTAGATAATTTTAGTCCCTAAAGGATTGTAATTGTGCAATTTTAGTTCTTTAATTTTTAATTGAACAATTTTAGTCCCTCAAATATCATAATTGTACAATTTGAATGTCTCCCATTAAAAATTTAATAATTTTAAAATTTTAATATATATATATA